AGGAGAGTGGGAAAGGAAGTCTGGGAAGAGGAAGAGCATTGCAAGCAAAAGCCTGGCTGCTGGGCAGGAGAGTCAGCGTAATCCTGCTGCCCGGCGCCGTGCTGAGCCCCAGGGCGGCTGAGGAGCCAATCCTGCTCCTGTCCCTTGCAGGGCTGGGGGGAAGCTCCTGCGGATGCAGAGAGCGGTGGGCATTGCCCCCAGGGGTGCACCCGCAGGGGAGCGAGACAGGGAGGAGGGGAGAGCGGGAGGAGAAAGGAGGATCTTTTTCACCTGTAGCCGGAGGAAGTCCTGGGGTTTGAAGTCATTTGGGGAGCACCCGCACCAGTCGACTATGTGTTTATATTGGCACTTACAGCCCAGCTTCCGGTTCCAGTTGGTCACTCGGAGGTTGTTATCGACCAGTGTCTCGCAGGCGTGACTGTTCTCCAGGACTGTGTGGAAGAAGGACTGTGCACGGCAGAGAAGGAACAGGAGACCCAGTGGGGATGGAGAATAGATGGTTAAAGGAGACCCCTCCACACTCACAGAGGAATAGGACAGGCCCTGAGAGCTCCTGAACCGATCCCTGTTCCCAGCATGGGGCAACGCTGAGAGACGAGGTTGTGTGCCCGTATCACCCCCCATCTGGCCCAGAGGGGCACCTGGACCTAAAGCACGGCTGGATAAAACCCTGAACCCTGGCCTGTCTGCTCCTCTCCCCCCCTCTTTCGTACCCAGGTCTGGGCAAAAGGGAGGCACAAAGCGGCCTGCATGAAGCGGCGCCCTTTGTAGCTACCCAGGGCGGGGATGAAGCAGGACAATGGGATGAAAATCCAGGCCGTGCCCCACAGCTAGCACCCACCTCGGCTGGCAGGAGCGTGTAGGTGTAGAACTGGCGCAGCTGGGTCACCAGCTGGTCGTCGGTGTAGACCACGTACTCCACGAAGCTGCGCGTCAGTGAGAACCAGTCGGAGCCCCCGTCCACCACGATGCCCTCGGGAATGTGGCGCTCGCCCAGCCGCCACATGTGAGAGTCACACTCGTGGAATAGGCGGTCCAGGCCCTGCTTCTTGATAAACCTGGGCACAGGGATGAGGGGTTAGGGGTGTCACCCACTTTGCTGGGTGCAGCTATGTCCAGAACATCCCCTCCCAACTGTTTCAGTTGTTTCCTGAAATCCCTTTTTTCTGTTCCTCTAGCTGGGATTACCTGGCATTGTCTCGGCCATGAGACTTCAGGAAGTTCTTATCTCTGTATTTGGACAGGAACATCACCAGCTCCTCATTGGTCCTGAGGTGCAAATTAGAAAGCGTTAACTTGGGGTAAAGCAACCCAGGAAGCATTCTCCCTGCAAGAGCCACCAGACAAAAAGACCCTAAGGCTGCTTGGTAGGTGCTGACTCAAACCCTGGTCCCATCGCTGGGGAGATATCTGACGCCTCACATGTGCGTTCCCTTGCAACACCCAGACCGCAGGAAAAAACAGCCTCCGAGGTACTGGCTGGGCTCCTCTGCCAAGATAGGACCAGCCTGGCCCTGGAGCATCACCACCAGAACGTGGGTGCAATCTCCAAACCCCATCTTCCCTCAGCTCCTTGCTCCTCCCTGCCCCTCCCAAGGCTGCTGCAGCATCACACAAGCTGAACGCCTCCGTCACCCTGCCCTGCCCCAGAGAGGTCCTCACCTCGTGGGGTAGTCGGTGGCGCTCAGGTTGATGAAAAAGTCCCAGGGCCACTCGGCCAGCTCCAGCAGGTCCTTCATGCTACGCAGGTACATCTTCAGCAGGCTGGCACCTCCCCAGATGGTCACCATGCGCCAGGGTGTCACGCGGATGTTGGGGTAGTGCTGGGCCAGCTCCACCGCCTCACGATGGAGGTAGTTGGAGCGCTGCCAGGGAACAAAATTATGGTCAGCAGGGAGCTTGTCTTTCCGGGGCCTCCTTGCCACCAGCCCAGAGTCAGCCCTTACGGCAGCCTCCGCAGGGAGGACAGCAGCAAGACAAGACTGCTCTGGGCAAGAGGGACAGATCCTGCTTCCCTGGGGCTGCACAAAGAGGGGTGGGAGGGTCACAGCTCTACCGGCAGCGAGGACAAACCCTACCCAGCCACCTCCTCCAGCACAGCGGGTGCTGTGCCTCTGCTCGCCACCCACCTGCACCCTGTCCCAGTGACTGATCTGGGCACTGTTAGCATCTCCCCTCCCCTTGTCCTTCCCGCATACCTTGTCGACATGGATGTAGAAGAAGTGCTGCTGGTGGTACACAGCCTTGATGAGCCGCTTCAGCTGGCGAATGGCCCTGCCGTGCACCACCAGCATGTAGGCGATGCGCACGGGCTTGCTGGGGGGTGCCTGCTGCAGCTGGCTCTCGTCCCACTGGATGACGGGGCTGACCTTGCCTGCACGGGGAGGGAGAGGGCTGTCAGCCGCCGCCAGCCTTGGCACCCATCACCCAG